AATTCATTACCCTTAATATCTTCTTAGTAAACAAACCCTATTAGAAAATATTTATTATTCTATATTAGATAGTATTCAATAAATTATCATCCTTGTAAGCATTCATTGTTGTAAGATAAAGTCAGCTTTCATTTTCTCATTATTTACTCTCATCTTACCTCTCTCCAGTAGAGCTTCACACCACGTAGTGTATTTGTTGTTTTTAGTTGCCTTTGCGTTGATTATAACTCTTTTTAAACTTATGAACAATAGATCAAAACGTTGTCCTATCTTGCATCATCCTAATTGTCTTTGCTATGCTCCAGTCCATTCTTGTAATTACTGTGTCAATCTATCTGTTGAAGGTTTTTATCTCTTTCACCAACCCTGTATTTTTCCAAGCATAGTTTATTTTTCTAATGATTAACACTTTCTAACAATATACCGAAAGTATATGAGACAAAGTTTCACCACCTTTGCCTCTTAGAAACATCCTCACTACATTTCCTCCAAGGCAGATTTATTTATTCTTTTTGCAGTCCACAGGCTACTCAACACTCTTCTCCAACATCCTAATAAAAAGAATTCACTAATTCTCCCTTGATCTTCCTTATTCATTATTCACCTTATATTTGCACATGACATAGTTGAATATATACTACAGTTACTCAGAAACTGCCATGATTATTCTCTGTTCATCTTCACCATCATCTAGCACTTTTTTGAGGCTAGCTGGACCAAGAGGCTGTTGCGCAAAGAGAGCAGGAGAATACTGAGTGGTATACAATTGAGAAGGGTGTGTGTCAGGGTTGTATTATCTCTCCATACCTATTCAATCTGTATGCTGAACAAATTTTTCAAGAAGTTGGATTCTATGAAGAAGAATGTGTCATCAGGATTGGAAGGAAACACATCAATAACCTGCATTTTGTGGATGACACACCTTGCTTGCTCACAGTGGGGAGGACTTGAAGCACTGTTGCAGAAGATCAAGGAATGCGCCTTTGGTATTGATTGCATCACTGTCATGAAAACAAAGATTCTTACAATTGGGCTGATAGGCAGCATCATGATGGATGGAGAGGAGATGGAAAATGACAGCATCTTCATCTTCTGGAATCCACAATTAAAAGCCTTGATTCCAGCAGTCTGGAAATAAGGAAACTCATTGAACTGGGGAAATCTGCAGTTAGGGAACTCTCTCTAAATTATTGAAGAGTAATGATATCAGTTTGAGGACTAAGATGTATCTAGTTCAAGCCATAGTCTTTCTAATTACTTGCAATGCATCTGAGAGCTCGATAATGAATAAGGATGACAGAAAAACAATTGATGCCTGTGAGCTATGGTGTTGGAGAAGAGCATTGAAAAAGCCATGTATGGCCAAGAGAGCAAACCAAGTGAGGGTTCAACTGGAGTGCTCTTTGGAGGTGAGAATTATGAGGCTTTGCCTCACATACCTTGGGAATGTTACTAGGAGGGGCTATTCCTTGGAGAAGAATGTGTTTGTGGGAATGGTGGAGGGTCAGTAAAGGAGAGGAAGATCCTCAATCAGGTGGACTGATACTGTGACTGCTGCGATGGGTTTGCTTGTCTTAAGTGTCAGGAAGTGTGAGGATGGCACAGGATAGAACAGGGTTCAAATCTTTTGTTCTTAGTTTCACTATGAGTCATACTCAACTCAACAACACCTAACAACAATAACAATATGTTATGTCGATAATTTATAGCTTCATCGTGGAGAGAATAAAACCAGGCTGCTCCTTGGAGGCAAGGATTCTGACGCTTCATCTGACATACTTTCGGTATGTTGCAAGGAGGGCCCACTCCTTAGAGAGGGTCATCATGCTTGGAAGGGTGGGGAACAGAGAAAGAGAGGAAGACCATCAATGAGATGGATTGATTCAGTGACTAGGGTAATGAGGGTACGTGTGTCTGAGACAGTAAAGTTGGCGGAGGCTAGAGCAGATTTCAGGGATATTGTACATAGGGTTACTATGAGTCACAAGTGGCTCGACAGTACATAATGACAACAAACAATTAAAAAGTGAAGGCTTGGCTTACATATTGTGTCCTTGGGAAAGCCTTTCCTAAGCTTCTAAAATCATGTTCCCAAATGTAGTACTGCCACTCTAACCTGTCACTACCAAGCCCTCCTTCAATTGTTCTCAGACACCTGTATTACACTTGCCTTTCTACATTTTCTACTGGCCTATTAGCCTAGGAATTACAGTTTATTTGCTATAATCTCTTCAATATAAAATCTAATACAATATAGACATTAAAGAACATTTTTTAAGCAACATGAGGAATAAATGATATGTTAATTACTGAAGTTCAAACACCATGATGGGTGTACACCTAATTATCGCAAGATTTTCTTTCCAAAATACAGTAGTTCAGATTAAAAGAGGAAAACCCCACTATGATTTGACCTTAAGAAGTTATTAGTAATGTTGAAACACAGACACAGTGTGAAACACAGTGATATATTCTTAGGCCATTTTTAAATGCAAAATGCAATTATTTCAAATCACATTACTAATCATATCACATTAAAGTATAAAACAAACACATTTTCAAAAACTTAACTTCAATTGCAAGAAAAGAAAGTTGAATGCCAGCAGAATGATAACCAAATTGCTATACTAATATTATGTATTATTTTAACTCTGGTATATTATGTAAGGAGAACTTGTAATGTTCTCTTCATAATATACAGTAATACTGGCCAGACGGCTACAAAACTGTGAGAAAGACTATAAAGTCAAAAGTATACTTAAAATATCACATGTATCATATTATTTTTAATATTTATTGTGGTAATATATGTGACACACAAAATATATTTTTTAATATGCTATAAATGGAGTTCTGGTGGCTGAGTGGTAAGGAATGCACTGCTGATGCAAAGATACCTTAAATCTACCAACTATTATACAGGAGAAAGGCATTCTCCTTTCATGTGTTTTACTGCCTATGAAAATTCACTGGAGAGTCAGCTATAGGTCAATTCCAGCTAGACTGTAAACAATGTCATCAGAATATACTGAGAAGTCACATAAATTCTTAAAGGCAATATGTCAACTCTTAAGTGTTACTTTTAAAATTAATATTTCTAATTTAACAGTTATTTCCATACTAAAATACTATTGTGAAGAATCAGTCCTCACAAAACAACTAAGACTGTTACTAGAATGTTTCTTAAAGAATAAAATTGTAACATGTCTCATACACAAAAATAATGCTTTTTAAAGTAACCACTTAAAAATTAATATAAATATAAAGACTGTTAAATTAATGAATTCTTTCTTTTTCCTAAATAAAGTGGTATTGGTGGAATACAGTATTTCCATGAGAAGAATCTAGTGAACAACCAATTTTTTATGAAAAGTTATATATTCTTTTAATCAGTCTTAACTCTTGCCAAAAGTAACTGTGCTAAACTTGTCTCTGTCTCTCTCTAATAGGAAAGAAGTAGGAGGGACATCAGGAATGAAGGGTTTATTTATACAAAGCATGCACATTAATTTTCATTTGGGGAAAACAACCACAAGAGAAAATAGAGTTTGGTTAAAAGAAGATAAAAACTGACCAAGAAACAGGAGAAGCACCACTATTCACATAGGTAAGAGTGTGGGACAGTTGTATGGTTTGAGTTTTGGGGTTTTTTTGGTAAAAAAGATTGTAAAAAAGATTAAGAGGGAATTAAACTAATAGTTGAAATAATCTTCTGATTTAGATCCATTCAACTTTGTTCTAAAACTTGATACTCATTTCTAATGGGAATGTGCCATAATCAGTCTTAGGTTAGAATTCTACTCAGTTTTATTGTCTAATGAAAGGTTACTCATCTGAATTATTCAAGATTTTGGCTGGGTATCAGTCATTGATAAAAATAGGACATAATTAACAAAATTTAAAGTAAAATAGTCTATTTTAAATGAATTTAATATTATAAGCATGCATTACTGGAATATTTCACTCTGCCAATGACATTTAATACCACCAGAGCAGTAGGTAATGGACGTTGATTTCAACACACTTGGGGTAGCTCTATAGAGGCATTTCTGTGATCCTTCTAAAAATATGAGTTAATAAACTTTAAGTTAAAATCATTTTGCAAATAATTTTTACTTAAATAATGGGTATATCTTTTTATTTAAAGGAGCACTAAACTATTGGCTCTTATTACTATAAATTACTTTCCTATTATAAAAATGTAAAAGGTCACAGAGAGCACTTAGGCAACTAGCAAATCATTTCGTATGTTTGCTTTCTGAGAATTTATAATATAATAATTTACTAAAATAAGTGTGGATTAGAGAAATTTATTTCTTTATTACCATTTCCTACAGGATCCTACATAGATTAGAGTTTTCTTTGTTCTGTTTATTGTTTTAAACCTCACTAATTCAGATGAAGGAAAGATGAAGGTTTTCCTCTTGACTGTGATCATATTGCACCTTTCTTCATTCCTCCTGGTAAGTGTTCCACACTCTTTAACATGTTATTTGTTTTGTTTAACTTAACATGGTACCATTGGTGGTGTAGTTCACCACAATTTGCATTGTTAACCCAGAAACCATGTATCTCTGTAAAGGTTCAAACTCACCAGGTAGCTGCTTCATAAGAGAATGATAGGCAGTCTCCTTCTGTTGTGATGTATAGCATCAGAAATTCAGTGGAGGGCCGCCGTGAGTTGGAACTCACTCAAAGCTGTGTGTTTCATTATCAAAAAGAAAGATGTTGATTCATGACAGTCATAACCATAAAAGATATTAGAGTAAACCATTATGTTTGTAAATAGGATAAATGTTTAATTTCATTAAAACCATGATATATAATTATATATCCTTTTCTAAATATGATACGATATGATATGCAACAAATACAAATAAATAAGATTAGTTCTATTATTTTTTTGCTAATGAACATTTTTAAATTTATCCAATATGATTTGTATGTAATATTTAATTGTTGCTTATATGGCTTTTTTGTTGTTTTTATTTATTTCCCAGATAATTGAGAGTCTTAAGACACATGATGAGTCAAAACAAAGATCATCAGGGCTGAATTCAGTTTCTAAAGATGGAAAAACAAAGTCTTCAAATTCTCGGGCTGTACTAAAACAAGCCAATGTCCAGACACCAAAACGGTCATTAAGCCAAAGTTCACTTACTGAGACTCAATCAAAATTACCTACATCACCTTTATCTAACCAATTTTTAATATCTAATCTTAAAAAGTCTTCAACATCCAAAACTAAATCCAACAGCGTATTATCTACTCAAGATGCAGCAAAGCAATCTACAACTACCCAAAAAACAAATCAGGTTAAGAAAGGTACACAAAAACAACGTCAATTAAAAACAACTGCAAAAAAGAACTTAAGTAGTAAGCCTACAGATAAACTGACCTTAGATAATAAGAGTAAGTTTAATGAAGCCTTCTCACCTAAGACTTCTACCAAAAGAAGTAAGATCTCTGAGCCTGTAAAGAAAGAGTCCAGAATTTCCAAGTCTACATCAAAGAGGAAACAGTCTTCACATGTTGCAGGAAATAGATGTGTAGTTACCCATTCTACTAAAAAATCAGCTGCAAAGTCAACAAAAAGAAAAGGTCTTGCAGCCAAATCTACACATCGGCAGACACCAATTTCCCACTATGTGGTCAAAAGCCACCTAACTACTAAATCTAAATGTCCAAAGCCTAACGTTTTGAAGGAAAAAAGAACATCCTCTAAGAGATCTTCACCAAATAATCTTTCAGGCTGCAGGCCTACTTCAAAAAAAATTGCAGCTGCTCAGTCTGTAGGCAAAAAGTCTCAAAAATCCAATTCTAAGCGACGCCAATTTCAAGATTACAAAAACAAATCCAAAAAGAGAACATCATCACCACATGCTCCCAAACACAGCAATTGCAAAATTCATCCTCAATCATCCTGTCCAATCAAATCCCACTCATCTCAACTTCAAGATCAGAAATCTCAATTTCATAAACCCATATCTTGTCAAAATAAACCAGTAAAGCATCCATCTAAAACTTCTTCAGAAGCAGCCACTGCATTACAAGCAGCATCAACTACTATTCCTGAAGGTAGTACCATCACAGCCACTGTAGAAAGAAAATATATTGCCAATAGCATAACTTGGATTACACCTACTGCTAAAGCTCTGACAACCCTCTCACCTATTACCAATAGCTCCTCATCTCAAGTCATTGTCCAGCCTACCAATACCACTACCATTACCCAGTCTATTGACACTACTCCAATAATTAGTATACCTACTGCCATAATTGATACAACTGCAGTAGGTGATACCACATCTACTACCTCAACAACTGGCTTGAGTATTGAAAAGACCACTGTAACTGATTTGATGACTAGTCCCATAGTCACTGTAGCTAGTACTATCAGTACAGCAGATACAGTAACCACTGCAGAAGTTTTTGAAACAACTACTGTTGCTGGAGACCTAACAACATCTGTAACTGCTAGCACTTCCGTAACCACTATTTCTGATGCATCCACTACTCTTGACAATGCCCCCACCACCAACACAACTGATGACATTGACCTTGAAGAGTATGTTTATGACAAAGAAGATTATGACTCACCATCTGAATATGAATATGACCCAGAACTTGCTGAAGATTCTACCACTATTCCAGAATCTTATTCTACATTACCTTTTCCAACTCCAGAACCATAAAATACTCCACAACTCCAACTCTGAGCCAGTAACCTACAAGTACTACATACAATCCCTGACAATTGATTTCCCACCTCTGCCTATAATCAAAATAATAGTGCAAAATACTAAAAATATCCATACTGAAAATATAACAATTCTGTAAGCATACTAAAATGTAGTGTTTTAGTCGTTATTTTTTGGCTAGCTATCAACATAGCTCATTATTTATTTGAAGAAGAATTACTGCATTTCACATAATTTCATATAATGACAAAATTTCACAGACCTAAGTCCTCTTAATTATACTCAAAGTACTTCAATCTTGTATTCACCTATTATGATCAAATTATCCAAGTGAAAGTTATGATTTATTATTAACTTAGCAAGTTTCATTCTGGTAACAGGAAACATACATTATAAAATACATATTTCAGTATGCAGGTCACATGGTGACCTGCTAACTAAAGTGTTGGCAGTTCTAGCCCACAAACTTCTCCGCAGAAGAAATCAGAAGCAGTCTCTTGGCATTAAAACTCACAGCCTTAGAAAGCTAGTGGAGGTTTACTGTGAGTTAATGAAGCCTAATAGAGGGTCAATGCAAATGCAATAGATCTGGGTTTTGATTTAGGTTAAAAAGAAACTCTCTTTACAGAGTTCAGCTTCTCAAATAATTTGCTCAGCCTACATGTTGAGTAACTATGGAGAGAGAATACAACCATGATGCACTCTTTTCTTACTTTTAATCCATGCAGAGTTCCCCTGCTCTGTTTGCACAACAGCCTTCTGGTCCTGGTATAGTTATCAAGTTATCAAGAGCACAATCAAGTGTTCTAAGATTCCAATTATTCTCAATGTCAGCCACAACTTGTTATGATCCACACAGTCAAATACCTTTGCATAGTCAACAAAGCACAAATAGACATTTTTCTGATATTCTCTACTTTTAGCCAGGATCTATCTGATATCAGCAATGCTATCCCTTGTGTTACAGCCTCTTCTAAATCCTGCTTGAACTTCTGAAAGTTTCCTGACTATGTACTGTTCTAGCCCTTTTTGATATTCAATAGTATTTTGCTTATATGTGATGTTAATGATATTGTTTGATGCTTTCCACATTCAGTTTGAATCACTTTTCTTGAGAATGGGGACAATTTTATGAACTATTTCTCTTATGTATGGAG